CGCCTCACGCAGTTTTCTTTCTCTACTTCGAACTCTCACAGGCTTGACAGGATATTTCCCTTCGCTCCAGTTTGTTGAAATTATTTGGTTTTAGTTTCACGACACTCCGTCGAAAAGCGCTCTGTCGTAATTAACATGGAGACCTGCGCAATGATCAAACTCCTTATCAAAGAAAACTTGTTTTTGCACAGGCAAACATTTCTCTTGTAAATCTTCGAGGAGAGGATGTCAGAGACGTAAGGAAGAATTCAAGTTTGAAAAAGTACTGTAATGGCCAGAACTGCCAGAAATGGTCAGCAGGTCGCTGGAGTAAGGTAGGATTTGTCTACTGTTAAAAACACCCTTATATTATTGTTTATCAATCAGTAACTGTCCTTAATAGATGAATTTTCAATAGAATTTCAAGTTGCCATGTTTTTCCTATAACCTACAGTGTTCGGTGACTTGTGGTAAAGGGAATCAAGTCCGGCGAGTTCATTGCGCAAACTCAAATATACTCTGCAACAAAGAGCTGAAACCACCCCATGTTAGAAAATGTAACATGGAAGCTTGTGCGAAATGGCAGACTGGGCCGTGGACCAAGGTAAGTGAGGAGAGAATTTTTCTCATTGGCCAGATTGTTCAATAAAAATAAAAAAAGAAAAACTCCCTTTCCTAAATGAACAGAAAGCAATTTGAACACTTTTCTCTGACACCTATGGACACCTATGTAACCGTACGTTTTCTTTACCGAATTTTGGACACTTCCTCAGGTCTCACATTTTAAGTGCTTTACTCTCGATCATTCCCTACAAACGCCGCTGATTTTTTGATAGTGTATTCCTCTGTTTTTCAGAAGGAGAGTTTCGAACTTCCGATCTTGATGGATGAAGGATAATTGTTATTTAAAGAAATGAAAACTAAGATACTAAGAATTTAAAAGGCGAGGTTGTTTTCATCTCGCCGTAACCAAAAAACGATTCTGGTTTCAGTTGTCCTCGTGAAAGCAAGGAAGACGGCAATTTTATGAACATTCTTTACACAAGTTATTCTCTCACAAAATAATTGTAGCAACGTATATAACTTCTAATACAAAGAAGGTTTTGTCGTATTGCGAACATTTCAGTCGAAAGTTGCTCTGCACCTAGGCTAGACCACGAGCAGTCTCTTTATTTCGGCGAAGTCCGTCACGCAAGCCAACGGGAAAAAAAATTAGGGTTGTGCGCTGCGCGGAACTCTGGGAGGAATTAATTTCTTGTGCTTCATTCTTAGCGTTCCATGTGGCGCGCTACCATCAATCTTTATTCGCTAATTTTTTTTTTTTGCTCCCGCGATGGACTTCGCGCAAAAAGAGGAACTGCTATTAGTCTATGCCTAGGCTCCTTACTTAAAAAAATTTAAGTTCCTGAGCAAAATTCCTTCAAATTATCTTCTTTTCAGTGCTCAACCTCGTGCGGAAGTGGAACACGAAAGCGCAGTGTAAGATGTACAACTGAGGAAAAAGATGTAGTTTCGAGGCACTGTTCCGTGGCCGATAAACCAAAAGCCCAAGAGAAATGTTTCCTGAAGGACTGTCCCAATAAAACAACCGGTAAGCTCTTCATACAACTGCGAGTCTTTTTTTTGTTCTCGAGAACTGCTCATTTCAACACATCCTTGTTTTAATCATTCCATATACTAATCATCGCGTATACTAAGCCTGGTGAAAACCCTATGCGAAGACAGACTTCACATAGGAGAATGTCTCAGCTAGTTGATACGTAAGTGTTAATGTGTTAATTACCTTCTTTCTGTTTTGCAGTGAAGTCTCGTACTCAAACAAACTCAAATTGTGCGGAAAGCGCCAGGGATACGTATTTCTGCAAGTTGGTTGTACTGCACAAATTTTGTCAGTTTAAACACTGGAAAGACAGATGTTGTAGGACGTGTCAAGACTCAAGATCCTAACAAAATGATGGCAGATTTTTACCGATTTAATGCGCAACCAGTAAAACTGGTCATAGTCAAGCTATACTTGAAACGTACGACGAATGGCCATCGGAAACGGTCGGAAATTAGATCGTGAACGATCGGCAATCCGTTTCAACGGCGAAGCATATTTAGGAAAATTGAATCTGGTGCAAGCCAGGCACAAAGGACAAATAGGTCAAAAGTACACAAGAAGTAAAATCAAGTAATTTAAATTATTAGCTGACAGTTTTAAAGCGTCACTGATCGATTTCAAAGAAATTGATATTTTAGGAATACAAAATCCAAACTCTCCTTAGCGGTCTCTACATTGCCACAGTAAAGCGAAGGGGAATTTAATTGCAAATTAGCGTTTCGTTATTTGTCTAAAGATTTGACCTCCTTGGAATGCTTTTAAATAGTTCGATGCTCAACAACCGAAATAGCCTTTTAGGCCAGGTAAAATTTAATAGAGATGGTATGGTGACCATCCTTCCATTAATTGTGATAACAACTGAAAAAGTTCAATTCTGAGTTATTATTTTAAGAGCGAACAGACCCGGATTTTGAAAGACAGAAAGAATCTTTTCTTTTGTAAAGATATTTATACAGATGCCTTTGGCGACAGATAGTTCTATTTTATGAACAAATAAAGCAAGAAAAAAAGAATTGTGAAATACTTCAACGGCGTAGTTCACTTGAAAAAACAAATCTGGTAAAATCCTAGAATTACTTAAAAAACTATTAAATATTCATGTTAAGGTGGAGTCTCGCCAATTGCACGACTGAATGAGAGCGTCAGACAGGAAAATATTTGGCTCTCTGTAATGCTGAAAAGGTCCGAGTGAGCTGAGCGTGCGAGGGCCGTGCCAAATATTTCCGTCAGGCCCGACCGCTAACTCACTTGATAAGTATTTTAAAGTCTTCGAACGGGAATTTTTATCCATGGGTCTAATATATAAAAGCACGTAGAAGTTATAGAAAAATAAAGAACACTACAGGGTTTCACAAGACGCGAGACTGACAGGGCCTTGGTGGTCAAGCTTAGCTTGTTAGGGGCTCTCGGTTGAGCTAACGTTTGTTTCGCCGACGTGCTAGTTCGCCGACTCTGAGTTCGCCGACTTCCACATTGCCGACTTCCACATTGCCGACCTCCACATTGCCGACTTCCTCTTCGCCAACAACCCGGGTCGATTCGCCGAAGTATCTTTACTGGTTCGCCGACTTGAGATAAAGCGTAAAGTTTCCCCATGGACTTTTTCTTTAATTCTGTACTTTTTATAACCTGAGTTTAAGAAACTTTTTTTGGTACTTCTGTTGTCTTTCCCGCAGCTTTACGGTGAACCAAGGCGATAACAAACGAACAATAGCACTCGACGATTAGCCTAACCTTTTCTTCGTTGGGAACGTGACCAATTTCGTCAGCACCCTTCAAAAGAGATTGCACGAAGTTTGTTGTTGTTGTAATTACACTGGCTTTAATTTGGTCTCGATAGCGAGCTAAAACTGCTGGCTAACTGTCCAGTTAGGCATTTAAAAGCGTCGGCAAACTGACTCTTAAATAGTGGGAAATCACTGTTAGTCAAATATTTGCTGCTTAGGATGTCCGGTTTCCTCTCATTTCTTTTTCCTTTTTTCATCAAAATGTGAAAACATAACCTAAAAGAAAGGATAAACAAGTTTGTTTGTTTGTTATTACATCGGTCATAGCACGTCGGCAAATCGACCCGAGATGTCAGCCGGTGAAGTAGACTTTGGCAAACTGGCTCGTCGGCGAAAAGACCGAATACCTTGGTCAAAAGCGAAATGGCGCACGTTTGACACCTGGCGGTTGTCAGGGGACAAGTAAGACACCCACGAATCATTCGCTCCTTTCTTCACCTTCCACCGCCTAAAAAGAGAGAGACGCAAGGTTAGGCTAGACTTTGCTGCTCTTCATGCCGATTTGCTCCCTCGCGAATCTGACTCGTACCCAGTCTACATAAAAGTCCCTCAGCTCCTTCCACGAGGACATTCTAGTCCCCAGAGCCTGTCGTTCTACTGAGCTGCCATCTCGTGTTCCTCAGGGCAACTGTGTTACTCGTCGCTCACTTCTGAGAGTTAAAGGACTAAACTTATCGATCGCTTGAACCCAAAACAACGCGATGACCAAAGGAGAGTAAATTTAAGACAAAACTGGTGGTTTCCACACTTCTAAGCTACTTTTGTTTTAACGAATGGGAATAAATGAATATCATATATTTGAACTACGGATTAATAAATGAAGATAATAATGATCATTGCCGTTATGTAGTGAAAATCAAACCTGAATCAAGCCTGAAATCATAACTTGATTTTCACTCCTGTACAAGTAGTGTTCAAAAATGCGATGATCACTCTTACCTTTATCTCTTAAGCCTTTTGTTTTATTACGAATTGAGGCAAATTTGCTTGCAAAAAAAAAAAAAAGTCGCCCTTTTGAAGATTATACCGATAAGGACGACTTTTGCTATCTCAGCGATTCAATTGATGGTCATATCTTACATAACTTGTCAGTTTTGTGTCACCGTCTGATATGTAAATCGGCTCCAAGCGGTCAAAGAGTCTCATCTGCCATGTGATCAATGATGGTTTTCAACGAATCTTTTAATTTGCGGGCTGTAAATAGCTTGATAAATTTAAAACGCAGACTGGAATAATTTACGATAACTGGTTTTGACATCGGAAATCTGTTTATAAAGGTAAAACACCATTCTTCGTAAATTCGTGACCAGCTATTACGGTTTGTTGATGTTTCAGCGTGCATGTCATTAGTCTTGTCTGAAAAAGTTTGAAATGTTTGCGATCAATTAAAAATAGCTCTTTTGATGATTGCATTAGAAAAGCTAGAATTGAGCCGTGTATAGTCTAGTGGTTTTATTCATCAGTAAAAAAAAACTCCTTATAACTTCCTAACATTAAAGTTTCATTTAGCTTTGTCAAATGGTCGCGAAAGTTGAGACCGGAAATAATCATGACCGGAAATGGACGAAATGTTTACGTGTTGCTAAGGCTTTGTAGCCAGGGAAACCGGTATCTTGGAGACGTTGTTAGAAAAAGCTTTTGTTTGCAACGAGGAGGAGGCAGAATCGCATCGGAATTTGCGGCGCTCAGATCTTGGGTTGTTTCGGCAACTTTTCAGAGAATAATTCCCAAACTTTTTAAGTCTACAATTAAGGAAATATGGCCACTGAAGAAAAGGGTGAAAAAGTTGTACAGATTGCTGCGAGGGAAAGAGGTGAGTCATGGCGGAGTTATAAGTTTCAAGCTCGATCAAAGTCAAGTAGCTTCAACTTAAAGAGCGTAGTGGATGGGTCATCGAAAATTGGTTCGAATATTAGAATTAATTTTATACCGAGAAAATGTTTATGATAGATTTTCCCAGTTGGATGGGATGATTTTCGTAAAACTTTTTGGGTCCAGCTTGGTGAAGCGTGGCGTGTTCGAAGCCACGCGTTCACCTTCAACTTTTTCAATCACCAAACATTGGTCATGGCGAGAGCCATATCAATATTTTGTATGTACTCATCAACTTCCTTTTAAAAGAGAAATTAAAAGAAGTAAAGAAAAATTAAAGTAAGTGAAATTTGTTCAAATCTTTGAGGCATCTTTAATTACATTTATTTAAAACCATCGATGCAACACCCAATCTTCTATTATAATTTCGAAATCTTGGATTGAAATATACTGAATACGATATCGTTTTCCTAATCAATGGCCAAGGAAGTGAATTAGGATATGTCTTTACTTTCCATTTCACAAAACAAACCTTTCGGAGGCTTTGTGTCTACACAGCTGCCCGGTGATGTATTTTCCGGACTATTAGAAGCTACTGGCAAGCATACCGTTAATTGGTTATACTGTCATTTAGCTTTCCTCAATAGCTCTATCTCTTCAACCAAAGGCTACTGTGTCATTTGAATGCTTTTCGATCGATCTGAAACTGTTTGCTCGAAATGTGGCAATTAAGCCAATGTGTTTTATAGCTTTCGACATTTGTCACGAATTGTTTACAGTGAAGCTTTGAATCACTAAGGACATATCTCGTTTCATCTGCTCGCCTTTCAGGCCCAGGACCCGGTCGTTATGGACTCCCTTCGATGTTGGGACATCAACAACATGATTGTAGAAGAGTCAGAAAGCCGGCTTATTCATTTGGTCATCGCTTGGAAAATTCAAGTAAGTATGCGTTGAAAATTTTGCGATCGACGGAGTCAGTGTTGTTCTCGCCGTGGGGTTTTCCCGCAGTGCGAAATGTCAACATGCACTAAAGCTCACGGTATGAATTTTACATGTATTTTCGTTTTTAGTGTTCAAGAAAGACTGCAGTCCTGGACCTGGGTATAAAGTTGATCCACGTATAACAAAGGATGGAGTTGATGGAACGCCAAGTTATTCCATTTTGGGGCGACAAAAAGATACCAGTAAGTAGCTAGCGCTAAAAAAATATTGCAAATGGGGACTACACGTTGAAGTGAGCCTATTGTTGTGTTTAGAAGTGAAGCCCCATAACATGCTTAAATTAATCAGGCGGTAAGAAGCCGAAAGCGATTTCAACAGAAGAATTAATATTTAAGTCCTGATAGCATTTTGAAGGAATACATGCAAACACCTGTTCCAAAAAGTACCTGCAGGTCTTTATAGTCATTATATCTAACGTATATGGGCTGAATGTCGCCTTTCGTAGCTGAGCCAATAGTCTTTATTCGACACGGTTATGTCATTTTTGCTTCTTTTCGTTCGTAATATGGATTTAAAGAATGAGACTCAAAGCCTTCAAGTCATCTCATGACAAAAGAGAGAGTTTCTCCGAAATGAAGAGAAAAGACTCGATATTTGACTTTCAAAAACTTTTAACTGTTAATTTTGATATATAATAAGCGATTTTAACATCTTATCTTTGAAATTCGTTATCACCCTTGAACATATCCGATAGATTTCGTTTCTGTTTCATCACGATTTTCTATCTATGTGAATATGCATAATGCAATTTTAACCAGGTGTTTGAATCCTAATAGCACTTCCATGGTAAATGTATATTTTGCTAGTTAAGCATTGGAAATGTTCACCTGTCCGAAAATATTCATTAATATGAGGATTTGAGTCATTTTGTTTCCTTTTAGTAATGAACCTTTTTGCATGTAACACCCAAAATTTCTCTATTGTGTGAAGTTATCAGCCACAATTAGTCACTAACTAAAGATAACTCGCAGAATAAATTATAAACTTCAGGTTCTTGCTGTTTACAGAACCTTAAAGGCACAATGTTATTGAATGATTAATATTCTGTGGGTGTAACTATCACTTTTAACATCCAGCAAGGCCTGGTACTCCAAGTATTATGAAACAAATTGTTTCATCCCAATAGGAAAAGTTTGGTAACAAAAAAAATATATTTTTGAAGAGACAGAACTAGTTATTAGGTGGAATACCTGTAAACTAGCCCTCAAGCTAAGAGTATATCCATGTTGAAATAAAAGTATGTAAGACAGTACAAATTAAATAGCTCTTCTAAGTAGTTTGGTCAAAACATCATACATCTTTAAAAAAAAAACTGAACTGACTATATGCATGTAGCACTACATAGAAACACCCAATAGGTTTACAATGTATTTCTATGATTAAAAATTGAATAATTTCTCTGTTCACTTTTAAGTGTCATTCAAGACACCAGCACCAGGTTCCTACTCCCCAGAGAAGGTCCATCCTCAAGGAGAAAGATATGCCCCAGCATGGTCATGTGGTGCACGAACAAGATACAGAAAACGTAAGTGGGCACTGAGATATACAGTAACACCCTGCATGGCTTCCAAATGACAAACCTTGTCATCTTGTTCCCCAAAAAAATTCCCACAATGTCATACTATTTTTTTTTCATCCTTTTAGGTGACTCCACTCCATCACCCAACTCTTACTCACTTCCAGCGCTACTTGGATCCAAGATCCCAAACAGATACTCATCAGCATCCTTCTCTATGACTGGAAGAGCCAAGACAGGTGGATTTGCTGAAGATCTTGCTAAGACCCCTGGGCCAGGAAATTATAGAACAGTTGATCCAGTAGTCTACAAAAAGAGGGACCCAGCTTATTCCATGAATCAGAGAAGTTACATGCCTGGAGGTAAGTATTTAAAGTGTAATCAATATCATCTTTTGCAGCTTTTTTAAATTGTCTTTTTTTTTGAAGAGATTGAAGCACAGTTAGTCAACATGCAATTTGTGACGTGAGCAGCTAGTTTTACATTGCTGCAGTTGCTTACAGCATCTTACTGATCATTTATCAAGGAAAAAAACAATAAAAACAGTTATAGACAACAACACTCACTTACTCTCTTCCTCTATAGATTCCACTCAAAAGCCTGGACCTGGAGCCCACAGCCCTGAGAAGGTGTACATAAACAAACCATCAGCCCCGAATTTTTCACTTGGAATCCGTCACAGTGAATTCATCACACCTCTTATCATTGATGTGACAGACTAAACATTTACCTCAAATTCCCAGTTCATTTTTTTATTCCTTTTCATTTTGTTTTCATCCTTTTTTTACTGGCAATTTAGCCCCCAAACAAACCTGAAACATTCTTGTTTTAAACTCAAGCTTGAAACTTTTTCTGGATCCTTTTTTAATCTTTTTGTTGAGCCGTAAGTTTTAAGAGTTGCAGTAAAGCCACAACTTTTGATTCATATACTGCTAAATTTGATACTAAATTTAAAAAAATAATTTAATTGGGATCAGGATTATTGTTTTGCAAATCTAATACCTCAATACTAATTGCTAATCATTTTCAGTGTGTCTCAACACTTGCCTCTTTGATTTGAAAATATACAACACATTAATTGAATGTTCCAAAAATCATATAAGTTATTACTTAAAGGAGTGCCTTTCCCTGACAATATGTTATCTGTAATTGATGCAAGAGGAGTAATCTTAAATGCACTAAAGATGTCATGCATTATTTACCTGCCATGTAAATTTGTTCATAAAAAAAGTGAAATTATTGTCATGAGTTCTGTTTCTTTGTACTTGACTTTCATGGAAATCACCTGTATTGAATTTCCACAGCATCCTTATCAACTCAAATCCTTGCTAATTAGCACTGGATTGTGCTAATTTGATTTCAAAACTTAATAACTGTAATACTTTTCCTTGTTTCCAATCACCTGTACTCAACAACTTGAACATTTTACAATTTTCCGTCGAAGTTCAAGCTATCAAACCTCTAATGTATGCAATAAGCAAGCCTTTATCCAATCAGAGGACCTGCCAAAATGGTCCAAAAGAGATACATGAAACTGCCCAAAGCTCTGCAAAAATGTTTGTGACCCTTCCCTTTCTGGCTGCAAAAAAATTTAATGACCCTCCACCCCACTTACACCAGACCCCCATGCCCGCCAGTAAATGACAGACCTCTAAGAGAAGAGAGAGAAGCTACAGGTAGTTACATATATTTTACAATGTGAATGCAACAATTCAATTACTAAACTATACATCCATGACTAACTAACGCTAGCACACAAGCATGAAGTGGCCACATGAGAGTATTTAATCAATGATGTTACTTCATTTACAAGTTTGTTCAGTTTGTTGTATTTCTTACACTTGAAAGAAAATGTTCACAATTCTAAAAGGAAAATGTGACAGGTTATTAGTGCTAATACGACATCTAAAAGAAAAAGACAAAAATGAGGTGCCTGCTATCTTCGATATCTATATCTCTTAAAATGAAACCAGAGTTGGAAAATATTGTTTTGAAATTGGCAGCGGAATCCATGACGATGAGAATACTCCCATTCGCGGTTGACAATCTTGAAGGCAATATCCTATGTTGGAAGAGAAACAAATATTACATAAAGAGCAGATTATTAAAATTATCAACAAAATTATTGGAATGACAAATTGTTCATAGAGAAGTCACAAATCACCTCATATGGGGGTCCTGCATGAAACCTGAGAATAGCAAAGTCTTTTGAATCTCCTGGACTTTGTTCCTGAAAGAGAAAGCAAATCCATATAAATTCATATTGCATATTTTAAAAATGAGACAATAAGAATTATAGACTTAGTTTAAATAAATTCTGCAAAAAAACATGAAATTCAACAGCAGCTAGTTTCCTGATTATAATCTTTAGATATCAACTCTCTTCAATTGAATAAATTATGAATAGTTTAATCAAATTATATGATATGAAGATTGTCATCATGGTTTTAAAATGAAACAAGTTCCTGACCATCTTTTGAAAATACAAACTACAAAGGGAGAATTCAAGAAACTGTAAAGTGACCTACCAAAAAGTATTCTGGTGCTTCTTGTTTATTGATGAGATCAGGATAAAATATCTGTCCAGGAAAAAAAAACTGACTGGCATTATATAAAATCAATAACCATTAATTAAACTCAAAGGGCCAGTTATTTACACAAGGTCTAACCCAAACTGCAGTTTTACCCAAGCAGTGGGCCCAAGGAATTCTCTCTAAGAAGGTTGATTTGATTCAATAAATGTTCTTCCACTATAAGCTTGTGGCCCTCTTGACACTGATCACAAAAACAGTAAGAATAAATTACAGTTTTTGAACTTACATTAAACTTGTATCCTTGTACAATTTTGGGTGGTGGATTATCACTATCATAATGAGTCTGATTGTATTTATTCCATTCATATCCCTGTTAAAAAGCAGACAAGAAATCTTAGTCTAGAAATACTGAAATCAACACTTGTGCTGGGTGTCCTCACAATGGCAGCATAACATCATCATAGTTTTTGTGCAGCAAACTGACCACCAGTACATATATTTTCACTCTTCCAAGATTGGATGCCAGTCCATTGCAGATAATACCCCTGCATTTCATCAGGCTTCTCTGACAGTTCAGTAGTACCTGTACTCATTTCTATTGCAGGGTGGATTAAGGCACTGTGAGTCAGAGTGACATGTCTTGCACAAAAACACAACACATTGACCCAGCTGCTGCTCATAGTTGGAATGCATTACCCAGAGTTCAATGTTTGACTATTGGGCAACCACATCACCAATGAAGAGATGTATTTAAAGAACTTAATATGCAAAAACAATGCATTACTGATAATTTTTATAAATACATGTCAGTAATAATTAGCACAAGTCAAAAACAAACAATTACACTTGAAACCTACAGTGTGAACTCTGTTAAAGAATCTTGGTTTTCTGGGTCTGTACTTGTCTGACCATAGGTATGTCTGTGGAAAAAAATAATCATATTCACCATTGTGATCAGGAGAAACCTGAAACAGAGCTCTCTATTGCCAGTTAAACCACACTTGCATCATTTTTATCCCTGTCTGTACACAGGCATCTCTAACCTTTTGCGTGACAGGAACAGGAACATTAAATGATTCTTCATCAGCTCCCATGCCTTTACTAGCTTCTGCTGCAACCATTCCTGCTGACGCTGCACTCTTGTCCTTTACCAAATAAAAGAAATATAAATTTTGGTGCCTTCAATTAGTAACTGTAAATTGACTGAAATAGTTAATTTCTCACCTGGAAATCAATAGGAACCTTAATAATAATAAAGTTAAAATTAATTTTAAGAGCAAATTTTAGGAATTAAGCACCGACTGGAAGGATTTACTAGACACTCACCACATCTGCTGTTCCGCCACTTGAGACTTCTTGTCTTAATATTTCCTAAAATGCAATGTGACGTGTTGCTAAACTTAAACATTTTCTTATAATACCTCTGAAAAATAATATGTTTTGCACTGAAAATTTTAATCATACTTAATCTAATTCTTACAATATACAATCACATAGTTTGTTAAAATAATGATTACACATAACAAAAAGTATTATAGATATCATAGTGATGGTGTAAGTGGTACTGTGATGGTAATAATCATTAAAATTATAACGATTATACCATCCAATGATGATGATGATGATGATGATAATGATAATGACAATGATCAAGCCCTTATTATACAGTACAAAACATCTACAGTGTATTTCCTAGAGTTACCATAATAAACACTGTATCTGATTGAAAAAGACACTGGCTTTTTCTTACTGAAAGAAAAACTAAACTACATGATTATAATTATATAACCTTACCATGATTTATATTAATAAATTCACCTGAAAATAATTACTCTAAATAATTGTAATGAAATTGGATTGCTCTCAGCATGTTTCAAATAACATCCAAATAGCATATGTCTTGTTCTTTATACTGTACTGCAAAAAAAAAAAATCTCACGCAGGAAAAAATAACTTAAAAAGTTCTCAGATACTTACAAGTTGCTCCCAATCCTCTGTTGGATCAACAATCATACCCTACACAGTTGATGAGAAAAAGTTCAACTTTAACCAGTTAATTTAAAGTATAATTATGTAGGCCACTTAAATCCAGGCAGAGAATTACGAAGCTACATGTATGTTTACAAGATAGTAAACTGAGTTTCAAATATTAGTCACCTCTTCAACGTCTTGAAACTTCAACAATCTGGGACTGTAATTGCCTGCATCATATGCTGTATAACCTAAAGGTGGAAAGAAACCCTCAGATTAATTTTATACAGACAGGAATAATTAAAGTAAACAACAGCCTAAGAAATTTACTTCATAAAATATTTATCTGAAAATGTTTTGAGTATTGTACCTTCCTCTGTAAGATCCAGTTCTGTGTAAACACTTGCATTTGTCTCTGCCCCTCCAGTTGCTGCCACTTTCTCTTGTTCTGCAGATTCTTTTGCTTCACTGCCATGGTCAGGGTTTTCATTTGGCTCTGTATTAGAGTCTGATTTGTTACCTCTTTCTTCATCATCAGAGCCTTGTTCTGACTCAGAGCTTTCATCTTTTGACTGGCTAGCCATCTCCAATTTCTGACAAGTGTACAGAAATGAGATGTTTCATAAAATTAGTTCTCACAAAATAGATGTCCAGTCCTTAGAATAAGTAAATCTCCTTACACTCCTTAGCTTGACAGTTTCAATTAAGTTGATCAACCTAAAGGAAGATTTCCCCTGGACCCATTACTCCTAAAAAGTTTTACTTATTAAATGACATTTCATATGTGATCAGAGCATTAGACATTAAATTTTCTTGACTGGCTTCTACCATTACAATCAGTGATGATATGCAGTATTTGCAGTGGAAGTAATACCATTAATAAAATAATGCAGTTACACAGAACACTGCCTGAAGAAAGCAAGAAGCCACATTTGATCATTGGGAACCTATTCATTTGAATTTGAAACTTTGAATTTGTTTGAATTTGAAACTACCTGTTTTTTCAGTTCATCTAACTTTTTCCTTAGCATTGTTTGATGAAATTCCCTCAGCCTTGCTCTTGCTATATGTGCCTTTAACTGATGCAGTAAAGTTTCCCAATAACCTGCAAGTAAAAGAACCAAATGCAATTTTTCATTTTCAATACTTTGACTGCCACCCTTTTGAAAGTTTCCCTTTGCTGCCATTTCCTGGGCTTGTGACATGGCATTTTCCCTCTCTGTAATAAACCCATGTGTATGAAAGAAGACTAAGGTTTTTTTTTATACATACGTGGATAAACAATTTCAAATCAGTGCCAATCAATCAAAGTCAATAACCCAATACCCAGTGTCAATCATCATGAGAATGCATTCATTTGGTTTTCTTTTACTTTGTCCTGTAATTGGCTCCTAGTGATATTTTTTGCTCCAATTGGCTACTTTGATTACTTTGGATTTGATTTATAATTATTAATTAAAAATTAGTTTCTCAATATCTCAGTTTTACAGAATCTAAAACATGTATAAAGTAATTATTAATACCTATATCCACTGCATCTCCACTTGCTATCTTTTGGTTGATCTGCTTTTGCAAAGCTAAAAGCTGACTGTAAGTTTTTCCACCAAAAATGTTTGTTACATCTTTATTGACAGAGGCATTTATACTCTCTCGTCGATCCATATGTTCTGCAATAAGAATGACAGGATATATCATTAGCAAAATTATTTCTTCATCAAATCCTCACCACCAGAGAAGAAATTTGAAATGAGTAGATGTGTCATATTTTCATCTTGATTCACACAGCATCCAGTAAATTGTAAAAGTGCTATGGCCAGACTTAAATAAAAAAGTTCTCTTAGATGCTGAATGTAGGAAACAAACCCTGCAAAAAAATTCTCGAGTTTTGACATTTTTGAATGAATTTAAAAAATGATTATGACTTCAACTTACCACTGTACCTTGGATCTTCTTTCTTTAATTTTTGAAGCTCATCTCTACAAACAACTGTCATGTCCTGCAAAAAAATTATCACTAGGCTCACCAATTTGAAATTTTGTGTTCAAGTCAAAATAATCTCACAAAAAAAGGAATGTCTAACTCTCAAGTAATGAAAGCTTTGAGCAAATTATAAAAAAAATAAAACAAGCACTTTGTTTAGTATTTTACCATCCAAAATTCTGCATTCTTCCCCTCCTCCAACTCCATGTACACCTTAATATCTACCATCAAGTCCTCCAGATCATCTATTGTGAGTCCCTGCAAAGGCACAAAAAAAGTCATGATACCAAATTTTCAAATGGTCTCAATGTGATTCCTGTAAAACATTATAAATTTAAATTACTTCCTGAATTCAGAGTTTTGAAGGAAAAGTTAGGAAAATTGAAATGGGAAATTTAATTTTAATCAACTGATTGTCATAAGCCACAACAACAACAAAAAAGTTATTTATAAAATAATATTTGATCAAGGTTTCAAGGGGGCTTGTAGGTTTTTGTAGAACTTGGCAAATTCAAGGCCATAGTTTCTGTTCAAAGAAGGCTTGACATCAACTACCTCCTGTCAAATGATCATGATAATATTATAATTTGTATAATTTGCATGTACACATTGTGTTTGAGTATTGCTTAGCTTGACTTGTAAATTATAACTACAAATCACTAAAAAAAAAAAAATTCTTATCACAATAAGAAAGGCAAATATTAGGCACAGAGCAGATGATGAATGCTGCATGAGAATACTTAGATACCATTTAATTTCAAATTAACAGACTATCAAAATCCATTTTACTACATAGCAAAACAAATCAAAACCATCAACACTGCTCACCACTAGAATTGTGTAAGGTTCATGCATTTGAATTTCCAAGTCATTAACTTCAGTACCGACATATTGTGCTAGCAGATCAATGGGTTTGGCTGAAAACAAGACAAGAGAGGCTTAATGCAATCAAAGAACAGAGTGTTCTTCTGTTTCAAGGGAGTCAGGCATATAAGGGTAATTTGAGTAAAAACTTCAAGGGAACACTGACATTTCAAACAGAGCACGTTACCAGTCAGGCAAACCTTTGTACTACTTGCCACTTAATTGAGAGGGTTTTGATATGATTGGTACAAGGGCAAACAGAGAGATGGAGTAGCTCTGTTACTTTTTATCATAAATAGTGTGCCACTGATGGAATTTCTAATGAGAGCAATTATTTCAAAGGAGCATACAAAAGCCACTGAGCTGCTGCAACTACTGCCATTAACCATTTTAACTATAACTTACAGTATACACTAACCAGTTCAGTATAAACAGTATAAACTAACCAGTTCTCCCTTTCTATATTCATCTTTTAATGTTTGGTTAGGTATAAAGATTACATTGTATAACTCGGCGCATGTGCATGTAACCAAAATTCATTTTTTTTAACAGTACAGCCCACAGCTTTACAAAAGTATTTATTGCCTCATAAATTAAGTCACTATAATTATCGCTATTTACATTTAATATACAATTGCACAGTACCTCTTCCATCCTGAATGCGAATTTTTGAGCGCAGCTTTGCCTGTTCCAAGTGAAACTATTTTCAAATACAAGAAAGATAATAAGCAAAAGTCAGCCAACCATGAAGAAACAGAACACTGAATTCAACATTTTCTTGAGAATAAAATCACCTTGATGGTGTGCTTAGCACTTGTTTCCCAAATAATGTAATGGAAATTGGTTGCAAATGAGCCAGGAATACAGCAAGGGAGTAGCATGTGCTAGCTGAGAGGTTTAGCCCTTTCCAATGAATAGGTAAATGTAACAGCTCTATAGCCAAAAAAAATGTTTCTAAAACTTTGGAAGTTTCTTTTTTTTGGTTTCTTTTTCTTTTAACAAAAAACAAATCAAAAATCACTTTTTTGTCATTTTAATCTTATTAGTTGAAGAGGTGCATTTTAAGCATCAGAGGAAACAAACATTTGACAGATAAAAGTACACGTTGTTCTTAAGAAAAACAATATTTAATTTAATAATTATCATTTTGAAGCTAAACTATATAACTTCAAACCCGCAAGACCCACAAAAAGTTATAACTGAATTATTCCTAATAATACTTTAAAACTATTACACAACGCAATTGCATCATTAAATTTACATGTTATATACCTTATCCTCCTGCTCTTCCCACTCCTTAAAAGACATTGCTTCTTTATCCCTTTGAAGTGTTTCCTATGATGTGTTTGAACCAAAATGTGTTTCGAGAGTATGAAAATGCATTTTAACCACACTATGTGTATGCATCTTTTTGTTATTCCATCACATAAATCCAAAGAATTGCCCGAAAATCATGATTCTTGCCATTATAGCTAATAATTATCTTACCCTTTCCTCCTCTCGCATCTGCTTTTCATGTTCCCTTTCCTTGAGAGGACAAAAAATACAGTTGAAGCTTCCTAGCACTTTATTTAGGCTGTTGTTAAAATGTCCAGAATCTCTGGTTATCATATATTCTTAACTTTGTACACTGTAAAATCAGTCCCACACACTTACAATCAGTTTGTTAACAGTATTTAAATATAATTTGATGTAATAATGACACTTACAATCCTCCGCTTTTTCACTTTTTCCAATTCTCTCTACAAAACAATTGAAAATAGAAGTCATTCAATAGATAGCATCACAATGAAAAAAAAAACTTTTTAAAGTAAAGTTGCAAAAAATCTGTTTTCATGACTTATTCAAAATACATTTAATACCAGGTTCAAGTTTGATAATTTTTTCAACTGCTATTATATTCAATTACAACAATTTTGAAGGTTAATACTAACAATTCTTGTCACACCAAATACTACAAGGACCCTCCAGAGTTACTATAAATTAGTTTTAACAGACAGCATCGATTCCATTTGTTTTCAGCATACAAAAACTGACCAATTACTACAACAGATGGAGTGGGATACTCCCTAACCTATAAATGCTGTAAAATGTCCTATATCCCTGGACAGCATGTACAAGCAATTTTAAAAGCACTTTGTTTCTGACCTGCTACCTTAACTTGAGTTTTAGATGATTCTATCATTCAAATTGTTAAAGGAATGATAAGTTGTCTCTTTCTGTTGATATTTCACATAAAGTATGAGGTTTTTTCTATTTATTTTCATTCACTGAGAGAAAAGAGGGGGCTGAGCGCTACAGCAACACTGCATTAAAAAATCCAGGTGCAGAAAATATCTGCTTTTACCTTCTAAAATGAAGTCATTTGCTTCTTAAAATGCACTACTTTGTTCCTTAAACCTTTAACTCCCAAGATCTGATTGTTTATTCTCTCCTTTAGCTGCTATACATTTCCTTGCAAATTAGTTACAAGAATTTGGTATTAGATCAAGATAACAACTTCTACCTGATAAGTTTGAGCATTCTCGTTACCTGTTTGCTGGACAAAGTAAGGATATAATAGTAAGAGAGAAGCTACTTGTTAATCACTTCTAGGAGTTAAAAGGTTAACAAGATAAATTTAATTGTACTTTCTAGAATTGAACAATTCAGTCTCTTGGCTGAGTATGGCATCTTTACCTTAGCTTCATGTTGTCTTAGCTTTTCTATTCTTCTTTGCTCTTCTTCTTTTAAATGCTGTTCTCCATCCTTTTCTCTCTTCTGCAGATCAAAGTAAGTTGCATGTAAAGAAAACAGTGGCTTAATTGTTAGTGTACAGGACTCCATATTAAAAGGTTTGATGTAATGACTTGGTTAAAACATACAGTACATATGATTATGCTGTGTTCTAACCCAAAACACACTCCCCTCAGTGGCATTCTCCAGCCAAACCTTTTGAACAGAGAAACTTTTCTGACAAATTGCCTTATGCTTATACCAGGGCCCAAAATAAAAAAAATTCCTATATCACCCCTCTATACCTAGGAGGCAGACAATGGTCACCAACAGTTAATTATGGATCAATATCGGTATCTGGGCAACTGCCCACCTACCCCTTCCCTAACCCAACATTTACCCCTTCCCTAACCCAACATCAACCCTAACTTGTCAGATACTGATATTGATCCTAAATTATTATACGCCAATTTAAAAGCTACATCTGAATTGTAGCCGTATGGTGCATGCTTTGCATGTGTGTGGTATTTACTAACACTAAATATTTAATTTGGTAATATGAGATACCACTACTCCAATATAAAAAAAGATTAAAGTATGGATAAATAGATTCAAGTGTAGAGTGAAGAAAAATTGGTAAAATACATGTACCTTTTGCCATACAAAAGTTTCAAGCAAATGAGCATCTCCAAATGGATTATCAGTGTTTGTATATCCCTGAGAACAAAAACAGCAAAATGATACATATACTGTTAATAATACAACAAAGGAAAGAACAGACACATGAAATTTCCTGTTCAAAACATCTCTAATTTTAAGTGTACAAACACCTCTGTTTGTGTTGTTTTGTTCTTGTGTTTATTTTTGTTTGCAAATTTTTTGTTCCTTCTGTACATTAAATTTATCAACAACCCAACCCTTTTAAAAATGTGACATTAGTCACTGTATCATTGTCATTTTCAGGAAATTTCATCCTTTAACCCTTTAACTCCCAGATCAAATTTGTAATCCTCCTAACTGTCAACCATACAATTCTTATAATGTTAGTTTAGAGAATTTAGTATTAGAGTAATTAATTATCCCCAAATTGATATTTTTCTTCATTCTCATCACTTATCTGGTTGATATTATATTGATATTGTAAGGAGAAATTATCTCTTGGTCACTCACAGGAGTTAAAGGGTTAAGGGGAAAAAAAACGGCCAAATGTCCTGATAAGTAACAACAACAGGTGATTCTCTTACCAGATATTCGTCATCCCATCCCATTTCTTTCTTTTTCTTTTTCTCTTTTGCTTCCTGTTGGGATGAAATAGTAATCAAAGTATATATAATTGTAAATCATCTCTTCTACATGAAAACATAATCAGATGGCATCAGGAGAAGGTGTATGTTCTATACCCCTTTCTCAAGTTGCTTTCAGAGAAATACAATTGTGTGAAGATGGTGTTTCACCTTTTTGGCAAGTCTCCTCGCTCGTTTCTCTTCAGGTGTTTCTAGTGCTTTCAAAAGTTCTTTTTCTTTCCTTCAAAATACAAGCACATGTTCCAAATCAATAAATTATCACACAAAGAACAGCTTTAATCCTTTGATCCCAAAGGGTGACTGGCATCTAATTTCTCCTTACCACATCACCCCTGTATGAAACATTAAGGTCATGAGAATAAAGAAAATGATCACTGACTAAAGAAGTTCTTAGTAGTTAAACAAATTCTACTTGTCAGTACTATAGCAAATGTAAAGAAAATGATACAGAGATTCTGTATTTTGATGTTGGAACATAAAGGGGTTACATCGAATGACACAACAAAAGGCAGGAATATAATGAAAATTCTACAGAGCAGTATGTCAGTATGGTTCACCTTGTGGGAAAACTTTGAAGAAATAGAGATGACACAAAAGGCTCTGTTGAGATCTAATGGATGCATAGAAGTGGCCTTATACAATATATTTATGGAACGTTCTTCTCGACAACAACAAAATGTTTCCATTGTGTAATCAGACAAAAATGTTCCTCGCTAGTGGGATATAAACATGAAATATAATTTTCAAACCTTTAACCTACCTTTTACTTCGTTTCTCCTCTTCTCTGTCGACAGTCTTCTTTTTCGCTACAACATTTTCCCGAGTACGATCTGCTGGTGAAGATGAACGATCTTTGTGCCTGCGTCGTGGAGATCGCGAATGAGTACGGCTTCTGCGTTTTCGACCAGGAGAACGAGATCTGCTCCTACTTCGACGCCTACGATTTTTCCTATCGCTACCAGGCATACTCGCTATGCTTCAAAATAAGAGAAAACGACCACCCTTTTACTCAAACTTCTTCCAAGAAGTCCGCCATTATGTTTCTCAAATGTCAGAGTGAAGCTCAGCAGTGGTAGCCAACGCGAACGTAGTACTTCATATAACATGGTTAATTCTTTTTTTTTAAGATGGCGGCCTTCAGACATTTCAGGTCCAAAAATATCTTCTTGTCAGGTCTGGTATTTTTTACTGAAAATAATTATTTTGTAATATATTGATATCTTTTGAAGTATCTAGTCAGTGGGTTCGATTTTAGAAGAAAATCTCTCATCGCGTTGTTTTTACCCCAGGTTTATGCAAGTCCTTGTCGGCACCATAGGAAATATTTAGAAACAGTGTGGAGAATATACATACTGATGTTAGGGTGTAAATGATTAAGTGTTATGCAAGTTCTTTTTGTGATGAGATCTTTCTGAGAAAGAATAATAACTGTCCAGCCTGTCAAAAGAATCAGTGAATCAACTAGAGGGCATTTTTGTCTTTTCTAGATCCTTCAAGACAGGTGATCAAGAAAGGAAAGTGTGGTCAGATTTTCTTAGGAAACAAAGCTGTTAAGGTAACAAATCATTTATCTGGAAAAAGTCTGTCAATGAGGTTAAGGTCTAAAATGGCCCAAGGGAGATTAACCAGTAACATTAATCTATTAGCTGCCAAGGAGACAAAATCACACTTCAAGAAATTCATTTCTAACCAACTTCGGGTTTTTGAGACAGAAACAAAGTGTTTTTTGGTTCCTGTAAGTTACACACTTACTGAAAACAAGTAATCGCCACAGAGCTGGAGAAAGAGGTGCATATGTACCTTGTCTGTTGGGAATTGATATAAATTAGTGACAGTAGATTGTATTAAAGATGTGCTCCGATTGGCTACTCAAACTCAGAATATCCTTTGCTATTCGAAGTATCCAGTGTGAGATTATAGTAATAATATTATAATTGTTACTAGAAAATTAGTTAAAATCATCTTTTTTGTGCCCCTCTGATAATTGTATCATATCACCTTGGTAATATCCACCTCTAGCTGCCTCCACCTTAGTAAATAGTAGTTAATTACATTTTGGCAGTTGTTCTCGAACATCATGCCAATGTCATGCTTATCAAACCTGAGTCATGTCTTTCTATTCATTTCTCTTTCTTTCCTTGATGGAAACAAGTTAGCAAATGAATATAAATTTTACTCAAATCAAGCTTCCTTGCTGTGTAGAACTGTCAACAAAAACTTTCACCATAATTGAAGTCAACTTTTCTTGTCAGTAAAGGCCTTTGGTGTTTTATATAACACACAAAATCATACATGGTTGTTTGTAGGTGTGGAATTTTGAATGTAACTCAAAGAAAAATTTGATATTTACACAGGGAGTGCTGAACAGGTACTTGAGTGAATCTGCCACCAATGAAAAACCAACTGACCATGAGGATGCAGCAGAACTGCCAGAGAGTGAGTCCAGTGGTAAAAGATCAGTTTTTGATCTTGGAGACCTTCATCCTGTAAGTGCAAAGTTGTATGTAATAACCCTACAGATAACTTAAAATTGCACCAGAGAGAAGATGAACAGATGAAACACTTCCATGCAATTGATTGTGTTAGACAGGGTAGCCTATTGTTCACCACATAAGACTCTGGTTTTAGAGATGTGACATTCATGGGCAAGACAATTTTCCTGGCACAGTGACTCTTTCCACCCCAGGAATATAAATAGTTACAGATGAACTGTTAGGTAATCCTGATGTAATTCTTTGGGATCAGACCTGCAATGGATTAGCAATACTCTTAGTTGCATAACTCCAAGCACTCTAACATCAGTTTGCATATTCTCATTACTTTCCTCCATAAAGCTATTTGATATTAACAAGGAGAATTTGTTTAACAATCAAGAGCTTCATTAGTTGGCAATCATTTCCTTTATTCTCATGACATCAATGTTTGTTTCATTGGTGATAAAGTTTGGAGAAATTAGATGTTAGTCACCCTCTGGTGTTAAATGGTTAATGATCTATTAACTGGACTAATTTCCCAACAGATGAGCCACCAGTGTAAGCTGACTTAAACTTACCCTTTTCTAATTCTTTTATTTAGAATTTTTATCATTTTACTAAAATATTTCACACAGAGTAAGATCTATAAGAGCCTTATTATTCCAAGATTTCTTAAATTTATCTTTTGTTTATCTTTTTTTTTTAATTTATCTTTTTCTTGATTATTCTTCAGGCTGATCACATGAAGTCCAATATTGGTCAATTTTACACCATCCCACAGGACATTTCTAGTAGAGTTCTCTCCTACTTCTTCACAAAGAGATTTCAAACAGAGGTACATATAACTCTGAGCTTTTTATATGTTTTTCCTGTTTTTGTTTGCTCTTCTAGATTAGATGAAACCTTTGGATAATTTCTTGGTTATTTTTTTGTTCAAGTTTGAAATGGCAGGCAGCACAAGTTTGATGATAAGAAGCCCTGCTCTGGAGGTGATACAGCATCTGAAAGACTTACCAGAAAGGAGCCATCCTCCACCAAAGTTTATTTTCTGTATCTTTTCACAACTCTTGTTGTAAACTGTAGTCCCTGTGATATGTGGTCTCTATGAATCAAAGTGTTAATCCTTTAACTCCAAGAGGTGATTAACATGCAAATTCTACCCATAATTTCCATATATTATCCAGCAAACTGGAGATCAAATTCTTGTAACTAGTTTACAAGAAAATATGTAGCAGCTAGAGGGGAGAATTAAGAATCAGATCTTAGATAAGATTTTTGTTGTCGGCTTGTTATCAGTTCTTTTCTTTAACTATATTAAAATAGATGGTGATGATGGACGTGGAAAATCTTTATCACTTATTCATGTTCTCCATTATTGTTTTTCTGCTGGATGGTTCATTCTTCCTGTACCAAGTGGTAAGATTTGTGTTCTGGTATGTAATTAATATGTCACAAAAGGTGGTATGGATAAATGTGTTTATATTCATCAAATAAGGGCTCTAAACTTTGAACAATAGGAAAAATGGCCTTTCATTTGATTGGCAGAGGAATGGCCACAAAACAACAATATTAGTTTTAGTTGATAAAGTCAATAAGATGTTATTTTAATTATACTGAAGTAAATATTGTAGTTTATTAAAATAACTGAAATTTTTTAATGTCAACTTAAATGAATTGATCATTTAGTTACCTAATAGGGTTTTTTTCCAATTTAGCAGAAGTTCCACAGAAGTGGAACTTACCAATAATAAAATGCTTAGTTAAACCCAAACTTACTGACACAACAACCACAAATAAAAACATCATCACTTTGTTATTGAATTTATTACCAGGACATGGAAAGAATGGAGGGAACTTCCACTAAATTGAAAAATACTAATTTTTACCTTCCACAATCCTTTTTGTCTTTCTTTGAGCTCCTTTTTAGTTGTTTTAATGATATATTTCTCTTTTCAAGCATAAATGTGATAGGAATAATTGAGGGTTGAACAGATTGTAATAAGTTTAATCAATCATTCATGCACCATCAAAATCCAGGTAAACCAAAAAATTAAAAGCAATCCTCTAAAATTAGTTAGTTGCCATTAAGTTGCCTCTAGCATTAAATAATGTATTTGTTCATCAAGTAGAAGGTTCAAGTCTAATTGCAAGCATGATTCTTATTGCAGTATTTAGCTGGGTACATGGACCATCTGAATTGCAAGTGTCAACATATCATGCAGATAGATTTGACCAACCAAAGCCAGCAAATTCCTGGCTTCAGATGTGCAAAGCAATCAATGGCAGGGCCCTTGCTGAGGTAAATTGACAGAGAAGGAGACAAGCACTTTTTCACTACCTTGGTCCATGTTCTGATTCCTACCCTTTGTGGCAACAATGCAAAGAGATTTACTTGTACCACTTTGGGTGATTTACTGTAGCTGTTCTTGAGGAGAAAAATCCTTCATGCTTTTGGCAACAATTGATGTTCAAATGACTTAGAGTATCTAAAAATCATATATGTGAACTGCGGGTTAAGAAATGAATATGAAAGCAATCTTCACAGTTGTAATGAACACTGCTTATAGTAAGCAGTAGTGAAAACAAGGCCTGAAAGAAAAAAATTTTCTTATTTTCTCTAATGTTTAAGTAGTGTTCATTACTTTGAAGATCGTTTTCATATTCAATTGATGTTTGTTTTTTAAAAAACTGGGCCTTTTACTCTGGTAAGGCAGTATCTAGTCAGTGGATGAAAAGTGAGGTCTTTGAAAGTGCATATACACTGAAGTTAGACTTCATAATCATTTCACTGTCAAGATCTAGGTACGAATTCTCAGCAATGTCTGCCATGTTTTTATAGTAATTTTAACTTTGAGAATTTAGTGTTTGGTCAAATGATTCCCCTTAGTTAGTGTTTTTCTTTCTTCTCATCACTTCTCTGCTTGAAAATGTATCATTATTGGTAGGAGAAATTCCTTTTTGGTCACCTCTGGGAGTGAGAGGGTTAAATCTTTTCAACATGTCTAAGTTTTATGGCTTCATTTCTTTTTCAGGTCCAGTTAAACAATCAATATCTTGTTGGCAAGAAAGATGTAATAGAAAAAGGAGAGCCACTGGGAAAAATTGTAGATACCGTAAGAAGACATTTTTTTGTATTATCAAAACTATAACAAAATTCTCGAACGTGATCTGTTATCACCAGCCCGATTTGAGCATTAATAGGACAGTGTACGCGTCTTGCCTCTAATTGGACAGTGTAATAGGACAGTCAAAGGGACAGTTAACACGTCATGCTTGTATAAATGGACAGAACGCGCTGTTTTCTCGCATTTCGCCGAGTTAACTGTCTTTTTTTTTTTTAATGAAAACGTACAACCGATGTTTAATTTCCTTCTCAGATTCTGCCTAGTTTTGATTAATTGGTAACAGGACTTCGTTTCGTCCAATTCTGTCGAATCCCGTCGAAGCCTGGATTCTCTTTATGTTTCTTTCCTCCATTGCTTAAACTGCATGTCATTTGCTAGGATCATAGCTTTATTTGATTTTCTATCCGTAAGCCAAATTGAAGTTGTTTCATTAAACAGAAAAGATTGGTCCCTTCTG